AAGGCAGTATGACGATTTATGTAAAAAATCAGGATAAACGAATAAATATAGTCAGGACCTAACAGACTGAAAAATAGAAAAACAGGACAGAGATAACAACTAAAAAAAATGCAGGACAAAATGTTTCATCCAAGTCCTTCACCCCCAATCAAAATAAAATGGTAGCTCCCTTAATCCAGGACCAATTGAGAGGAGACAGTTGAATTAAATATTTCGACGTGACTGTTAAGATTAAAGTTTAAAATTTTACATGCACATGTATAAAAGCTAGAATTGCCATGCGATAATCAAGAACACAATCATGTTCGGGAATACGACGATGGAAGTTTTTAACGACCTTGACCGGCTACGTGAATACTGATCAGTCCATTCAGCTTTATAGTACGCGTGTTCTATTTTCGCAGGTGTGAGGTCGAAGGTTTGAATTGACCAATGAAAACGATCGTTCCTTAACGAGTTAATCTAATAAAGTTTGTTTGACTGATTATGTTGCATGACCTTTCGCTAAGCTTGACCGCAGTTCAGTGTAAGTATTCAATATAAATCAAAACACAAAGGTTATTCCTGATTAGTTTTTCGAATTATTTTATTTAGGCGTTGAGACCCTTTGGTGACCTCACAGTTTAAATGTCTATAATAAATACGTCGTGAGTTTTGGGCGTTACAGACGAACGTTCACCTAATATGACCCAGTCAATGGGATATTTTTGCGCGCCAATCAATGGTCTCGGCTACACTGTTATGCACATGATTCTAAATATTCAAAATATTTGCCAAATTTAGCTGATTAAAATTTACAATCTTGATTAAGAAAATAAAATGCTTACTTTTATTTTTGTTGAGCTTTTTTCACTGTAAGCTGTAAGGAATTATGATATTTTTATAGGCTTTGCTCTTGTTAAGCGTTGTTTACTTTCAGTAGCTAGGGTTAAAACTAATGTTAGTGTCTTTAAGAAACCTTGTCATTTGACAGACTCAACTGATATTCAAATGGATATATACGCCACATATTCATATTAAAAAAGTAAAAATAAAGTTACAATTTTGATGTTCTTTAAAATGCTGTGATTAACGTCTTATTTTGCCTACTCATTTAATATTTTACTAAGTGTATAATACCACATATTTTGGTTAACTTGTGATTTGACACACTCAATGAATTTTATACTGAGTGCATACACCACATACTTTGATTAACGTCTTATTTGACCTTTTCAATCATTTTTTTGCTGGGTGTGTACTATCACATAATATTTTAAACTTGTCATTAGACACTCACAAATAATATTTTGCATGTTGTACACACCAAATACTCTGATTAACTTGTCATTTCTAGATTCAATTAATATTGTCAATTGACATACTCATTTAATTTTCTCCTCGGTGTTCAACTGAATTTTAGGTGAAAACTAGATCAGAGAAAAAATGCTAATATGACTGACGTGGATTTATCAAATTCACAATAAAGAAATTAAGGCAAATTCAAAGGAAATACTATTTAAGCGAGATGATCTTAACGAGAAATAGTAATGAAAATTTATCTTTGTATACAATACATTTATTTTATACATTTTGCCCTCAAAATTTGAATAGTTATATTTAAGGTACACCCACGGCTTACCTTCAGATTGCATTGGATGAACAAAGTGTCAAGTCAAGATGACATTTCCTGTGAATCTCGTCATTTTCTAAATGATAATAAATAAATGCATTTGAATATTGAACAAGTTTAATCAAAAAGAAGACAAAAACAACAAATTAACCGTTCATGTGAACAATAACAATGATATTGACAAAGTAACAATTAATGTCTACAATAACAATAATAATATCGATGTTTCATCAGCAGTAACCTTTCTAAGTAACACTTGTGGAAAACAGGTCTTATTACTAAAACAAAGGATTTTACAAGTATCGAAGAAAAAGTCACTACTAAGTACTACATAAATCAATCAAAAGAGGGACGAAAGATACCAGAAGGACAGTCAAACTCATAGATCGAAAACAAACTGACAACGCCATGGCCAAAAATAAAAAGACAAACAGGCAAATAATAGTACAGATGACACAACATAGAAAACTAAAGACTAAGCAACCAAAAACTGGGGGTGATCTCAGGTGCTCCGGAAGGGTAAGCAGATCCTGCTCCACATGTGGCACCCGTGGTGTTGCTTATGTTATTACAAATCCGGTAAATAGTCTAATTCGGTAGGTCACATTCGTGAAAAGGGAAGGGTATTGTAGTAACAACATAAGGAACATATCCGATATCATCTGTGAAACGGTTATTCCATAACGGTCAACCAACTCGTGATGGCGTCCGTTTAATTTTTGAAGGGATGATTTCAACTTCACCATTTGGAACTCTTGGTTTAATAGCTTCCTTGTGAGCAGCAATCCTCTATCAAGGAAATCATGATAGGAAATACAAGCCCGGGAATATCGTATCAATTGGGAGATATATACTCCGTATGCAGGCGCTACTGGAATGTTGCTACATAGAAATCAAAAGGCATAGGCACAGTTTATGTACAAATGAAAGGGTCAGCGGGACAGCATCTCTTCGAAGTTTTGGTATTCTCATTCAACCATATAGGAAATTCTGCAGGAAATGTCCGCCGAAAGTCATTGAAATGAAAATTTTATAAATTTCATGTTTCCGAAGCGTTTTACTTGGTTTACTTTGATCAGGAAGGCTCAAACGTAAACATTTGAAAGCCAGGGATTCTTCATAACGAAAGTAACATCTATATCTTTATGGTCATACAAATTGTTCTAGGCTGATTCGATTTATAACTTATGTCACAGCATCTATCAGATCGTATGCACTGTCACTTAATATGTAAGATCAATTACTCCTGAATTGATTTCACATCTGTGCCAATTCAAAACGTCTTTCAAACTTTTCTAAAATCTTAGGCGCCACAACTTCATATGCCTACAATGAATTCTAATTTTGACAACAATATGCCGTAGTTATGAAAATGTAATCACATTAAAAATGCTTAAAAATCGCTTAAAATTCAATATTTATGAATTTTTGCAAGTTTTGAGTATTTGAAAATAGAAATGAAAGCCATTCAACAAACAATTCATAGGAATTGTACCTAAGATTTGTGCCTCAAATAAGAAGTAATTCAGGGTAATTATAAAAAGTAAAACAACAAAAATACCGAACTCCAAGAGACAACAGTAGTTAAACGATATTCAATTCTCCTCGATCTAGTTTGGAGATACAAATCAATGTAAAAAGACAAAAAAAAAAAAAAAAAAACTGAAGGTATCGCATAAACTCCAAATTGAGCGAGACCGGATGCGTCGACATCGCAAGTTTCTCTTGTCAAGCATGCTTCATCCGCATTGAGAATATATACGCAGTCAAAATGCAACAATGCGGGACACAATTGGTAAATTTACATATTAGATAAACAAGGGTGGGGTGGGAGTGGGTAATCAACCTACAAATTTAGGTACAGACATCCGGTTATGGTTTGAAAAACACCCCCATTCATATATTGATTAATGCGAAAATCCCTACCCATTCATATATTTCATAAGAAAAACACAACCCATTTATATATATTTCCCATCTACCATGACATCTTATTTCAGTGAGATATTAACCACAAGGGACCCGTGATTTATATTATGAGATAAAAAGATCAGAACACAGTTTTTACAAACATCTTAACAGAATACTAGTATGAACATTTATGACCCATTGACAAATAAATTTCTACCATTGATATATTAGCTCCGTGAAATTGAACCCCATTGATATGTTTGACATTCCAAAAAAAAGACCCATGCCAGCGGCACGTCTGTCTATAAATTTATATAGGAAGAGACCCCCTCTCTCTTATTGATGACTATTCTCGTATCGAAAGTAAAATCATGTCATAAATTAAGGTGTATCAATGTTTAAATCTCAAGTTAAATCGAAGCAAAACTTACAAGTGAAATTTGAAGCATTGTATCAGAATAATCAATAACATTGTTCGGTGCTAAATAACTCTTAATTTCATGGATCAGTGCAAAATTGACGAAAATTTTCGAACTTGAATTGTTAAGACGATTTTTAATTCTACATGGTATCAAATACTTCATATACAAAGATTAATTTTTCAGTTCTAGAAGATAAAAGTGATTTTCAACAATACTGTAAAGGAGAAGATATGATAAAGCATCTTCATTGGCCCCACTTACATCTGAAAGGATACATCTGCAATAAAATACCACATTGAATTCGTGTGAATAATCTATGAAGTAACATCCGTAAAGTTTTTCTCAGAATGTAGGATACATGTACATTGGAAATACCACATGGAATTCGTTTGAATAATCTATAAAATAGCATCCGTATAGATTTTTTCAAAATGTTAATTTGTCAGAAATCAATGCGTGTAACTTTGAAATGTTTTCTTCAGATATGCTTTAAACTTTCAAATTTCTTGAGTTTCAAATGAAATAGCATAAACAAATAAGCAAATTTGCCTCGTTTTGAGATCTTTTCATTAATATTTATGTAGCATAAGCAATAAGAGCACAACCACACTTATAACAATGATATTTTGCTACATGATGTCTTATCAAATATGGTGACACGAGTACAATGTCTTTAAGTCGTGCTGTTGCTTATTATTTTACCAAGCTCATCTGTTAATAGGCTATCTTCGATGAAACTTCAACTTTAACGTCCCCGTGATATTTCTAATGACATTTATGCATTAAAGTGACCAAACCATATCAATTATTCATTGAACAATACAATCAACATATTTTTGCATTTTGAAGTTATTTTAAGATATTAGGGGCCTGGTTATGATTCTTAATATAATTTTTCCTTTATATGGTAAATGTCTCTAAATCTTCTTTTCTTATTACCCTTTTTCATATCTATTCAAAAAAGCTTGGCTTTGACAAATCAACATTCAAGGCACGTCGTACACAAATGTTTCATATATTTTTTATTTTTTTTACCACTACACATATGTAGATTTTTTTTTAACCCTTAAGAAACACTCGCGATTTGTTTAGAAAACTGATTGGTGCATTTACAGTAACATTGTCAAATTATTGTCCTACTTAAAGTAATGGTTGACATTGATTATCATACGCTTCGTATAAAATCATATCTAGTCAAATAGATCCGCGGGATCTCTTCCAGAGGAATTGCAGTTTTTATCTGTACTGGAATTCGTGTGAAAACGACCATCTCCTAAACAACACACTGATAGCAAAAGGAATCTTGCTCTTCTTCGGAAACTTTTATACATGGCAGAATAAACGAAAACATTGGAAAAGCTGTTGCAATTTGCCAACCACATTGTAGCAAATCGGACATTGGACGGAATGTCATTAATATTTGTTAAACTCATTATAATAACCTGAATAACATATGGTCCCCATGATATGAAATAAACAACGGTGGCAATAGTCAACAATTTGACTGCCCTCATTTCGCTCTGTCCCGAATTTCTACTTGTTCTCCAAATTGCAACCATTCGTCTGGAGTCGATTACTTTTCTCGTTACTTTGAAATTTGTGTATATAATTATACATGCTGAAATTATTGGAATATATAATGCTGTAATCACACAGAACCATTTATATTCCCAATATAGACCACAAATCATTTCATCCATACTATACTTGTAGTAAATAAAGTTAGATTTGGTTGGCAAAGGCGCAAAAAATGTGACAACCGCTATGAACCATAGTAATATTATAGTAGAGACAACCTTTTTTGGAGTTAACAGACATCTAGATTTCAATGGCCGTACGATTGCAAAGTATCGGTCTATACTTATTAAGGACAAACTCCATATTGATATTGTAACTGACGTTCCATGGATAATACCAGCAACCTGACACCAGACGTCCCCATACGGCCAGGAACCAGTAAAAGCAGGTATAATACATGGGAAACAGGAAATTAATCCAACTAACAGATCACTGATGCTAAGATTTAATATACAGATGCGGGTTATACGTGGAAGCTGCACTGTTTTCTGGATAACTAGAATGTTTAGAATGTTGCTGAAAATTATAGAACATGATATGATTAGAACCAAACAAGATTTGATATATGTTCCTCTTTCGGGCGAGATATTTATCGGCGAAACTGTGCTGTTTGAAATGACTAACGAAAATACGGTAAGGTTCCGATTATTGTGGCATCCTGTGAAATCGTTGCAATTATACTCCATTTAACCTGGTGTCGTAATCTGATTACATCTATCTAATCACATATATTGTCTTACTTTATGGATCCGTGAAGAAATCTGAAATAAAAAAAAAGAAACTAAACATTTGTGCTCTGATAAAAAAAAATCCTTTAGAGGAGTAAACACGAAAAGCTGATGATATTTATGGAATTTTTGAGAATTCTATACTTTATTTTTTTCAATAACTTTCTTACATCAAAGCTTTCAGACAGCGCTAATATGGGACAGGCTTTACCTGAGGATGAGGACGATGTCTATTGTTTTCGTTATATATTTTTGAAGCCAGATATATACAAATTTTTGGGAAACCGTATGCTTTACAGCATGGACGCCTTCCGTCAACAGTGCGAATGCACAAATGCAACTGTCGTAAAAGAGTTTACGACTTTGTCATGTATACATTGCCATTGAAGAGAGTTTTTTTTAAATATTTTATGTACAATTTTGCTTCATAACTAGTCTTATTTGTATAGGATCGTTTTTTATCAAGATAAAATTTTGTTCTTCTTATTCATACTACTAAAACAAGCATAAAATCTATAAAATGACATTTCGGTCGCTTTTATGCTTTTATTATTAGCTTACTTGTTCTAAAATATCACATTATTATATTAGAACTTCTAAGTACACACACTAATCTGTAGTACTGTTAAATTTTTAATGAAGATGTTAGACTTTTGGAAATGGTATTTTTTTAAATAGATTTTTAAAAAATGGACATACTCCTTTTTTAATATAAAATCCAAACTGCATAAATCATGAATTGTAATTCCAAAATAAGCGAGAAAAAAAAAATGTTATTTAAAAATCTTTATCAACATTATCATCATCATCATCTGATTTGTAACAGTCATACAATTTGTTTGTATATTATTCATTTACAAATCTCGCATTACCAAACCATAATTTCTATATAAGATGTGGTATGAGTGCCAATGAGACAACTCTCCATCCAAGTCATAATAGGTAATTTCTGATTTACTTTTATTGTACGTTTTCAGGTACTTCAATTTAAGTTTTAATTTGAGACTGGTCAACTTACTTTTTCATGAAATGAAATTGACCAAAATGGGGAATTGTTGAAAAGTACTCTAGGTACGACTCGGTGTTTGGATGCTACGTTCCCTATCAGAGATGTATTTTGGTTGTTTGTGTCGTTGGAATGCTGTCTCATTTACGTATACTCCATATCTTCAATTAATGTTCAGCAGAAATTTAATCCTATACAAATTTCTTAAAATCTTTAATTATTTCTACAATAAGCTGTGAATTGTGTTCAATTATTATTCAAACGTAAATTTCAGTTAAACGACTCGATTCGTACGATATAATCATGATATGACAACCAGTTAAATTTTACTTGAATGGTACTTGAATAATCAATGATAAATTAATGAATTGAATCAAGTAATTAGATTTTTTTTATTAACTATTTTTTCAAATTCTTGTAAAATAACAAAAACGGTTCCAATTTTTCTGCACCAGATGCGCAGTTCGACAATCAATGTCTTTTCAGTGATGCTTGGGTACAAACTATTTGAAAATTCAAAGCTTATTAAAAAGATGAATAGCTATAAACCAAAAAGGACACTAAAGTATAGCCAAAGCTGGACATGGAATCAGAGCTTTACATGAGGGAGATATATTCTTTAATTTTTTAAACTAATTTTTAAATTTTGTAACAGCAAATTTTAATAACACAAAATCCGTATTTTCATGCCAGTAGCTACTGGGCTGGTGATACCCTCGGGGACTATCAGTCTCCCAGCAGAGGCATTGACACAGTGGTAGTAATAACATAAACGGTACTAATTTGTCTGTATCAGATGCGCATTTCGACAATTATTGTCTCTTCAGTAATGCTCGAGGCAAAACTATTTGAAAATCCAAAGCTTATTAAAACGATGAAGTAAAAAGTAGTTTTTAGAGTTCATAACAGAAAGTAACTGTGCAGCTAATCATATGACAACTAGTATTTGCTATGTCTTGTAAATAGGAAATTTAGGGAAAATCCCAATCTTCAGACTATAACTTATGTACTTAACATCCATACATACCGCTAGCAAAAATTAGTTTGATTGATCATATGATTTTCTAACAATTTTGCCTATTAATAAATTGTGATTTTTTGGCGAGTATTTTTTTTATATCAAAATTAATTTCAAGATTCAACAATTATCCAATTAGATTTTGAATGGTTTTTCTGGGTAAATAAAATAAATCTATGTAATGATATTAAAGTTTTTAAAAGGTAATCCCTGTATTTCAGTCGTGAATTAAGATGTTTTGAACTACGGTAAACTACTGTTGCCTTAATTTAGTTAATGATTTACATCTACTGTAAAATCATTACATTATCATTATGAATCTAAAGGCGTCGTTAGAACTCCTTTATGTAATTATGAGTGTATTTCCAAAAAATAAATTTTCGTTTTGTACATCGTTTTCAGTGTTGTTTAAATGTTAATCTTGAAACTTTGACCAAATATTTGATTTCGACCTTAATGAAAAAAGAATCACAAATACTGATTATTAGAAAGAACATCGTCTGCTCTATGGTCGGGTTGTTGTCTCTTTGACACATTCCCCATTTCCATTCTCAATTTCATATGAAGTAAAATAACAAAAATACCGAACTCTAAGGGAAATTCAAAACTGAAAGTCCCTTAACAAATGGCAAATTCAAAAGCTCAAACACCAAAAAAACAAATGGAAAACAACTGTCATATTCCTGACTTGGTACCGGCATTTCCCAATGTAGAAAATGGTGGATTAAACCTGCTTTTATAGCTAGCTAAACCTCCCAATTGTATGACAGTCGAATAAAATTCCATTATATTGACAACAATGTGTGAAGGAAAGCAAACAGACATAATAAAAATGTCAAAAATTGGGGTACAGCAGTCAACATTGTGTGATTTCTGTCTTATAAGCCTATGTTACATTTTTACATATGTATTACAATTTTGAATTAAGAGTCAAAGATTTCTTGATGTACCCTTTATAACTTCTGCACTCTCCTGATCAACCAAAGACAACATGATACATGTATATAATCTAAATACAATTTTCGACGAGTGTCTGTTTTCAAAAAGGCACTGATTACCCTTCAGGAGAGTTTGTTTAAGATATCGGATTTTAGATGAGTTCTTCCGTTTTTAATGTAATGTTTTGCCAACAAAGATCTGACAATACTATAGAAAATTCTAAATATAAAAATGCATAAGGTAACACATAATAAAAAGTAAAATAACAAAAATACCGAACTCCAAGGAAAATTCAAATCGGAGAGTCCCTTTTCAAATGGCAAAATCAAAAGCTCAAACACATCAAACGAATGGAAAACAACTGTCATCACCGAAGAACAAATGATCAGTATGCTGGAGTTACTCCTTGTCAACATATTTGTTGAATTTGGAGGAAGAATTCCAGCAGGCTGTCGTCATTTCTATGGAACCAACTGTGCATCTCTCCTGACCACCTTTTCTTATATTCATATGAGTCTGAGTTTCCTCAAATATCGGTATATTGATAATTTCCTTTAAAACATATTGGGTCCCATTAATATATTCTCCTGAACTAACGAAATTTCCGGCGCAGAGTTTATATCCGTTCCGTACATGCTCTGCAATACTACACTTAATATGACCTCGTCATATTGAGCGTAGTGTTACGTAGTATTTAACGGAACGGATATGATCCCTGCGCCGGAGATTGGAACTAAAGATAAAGGACACTACAGATGCAGCTTCCTCTATTGTTGTTTCCATTTTGTTTACCTTTGTTTGTATATTTTACTTATTTTTTTACTTTATCGAGAACGTGTATACCATATACGGTATGTATTATCAACTACAAAAACAATTTTGTTGGGGTTTTTGTTAGATCTTTTTGTATATACAAATAAGGAGATGTGGTATGATTGCCAATGACACAACTATCCACCAAAGTTCAAATGAAGTAAATGTAAGCAATTATAGGCAACAGTACGGCCTTCAAAAACCCATACCATATAGCCGTATATTTTTGTTTGAATTTTTTAGTCAGTTGTGTTGTATGTTTATGATGTATGTTTACATAGTATTAGCTGTTTGGTCCCAATTATTGTCACATTAACCTATAATGTCTGTCAATATAACGGAACTACAAACAACTTACAAGTTATAGGTTTTCCTAGCTATAAAACCAGGATAAACCCCCTATTATCTTCAGGAAATGTCTGAGCCAAGTCAAGAATATGCGAGTTGTTTTTCATTCGTTCGGTTGTTTTATAACTTTTGATTTTGCCAGTTTTTATGGACATCCCCTTTTTGAAAATACCTTGGAGTTTGGTATTTTTGTAATAGTTTTTTACCATTGTGAGTTCTTTAAAAAGAAAGAAGCCGAAATAGAGAAATGAAAGTAATACATCTCACCTAAGCAGGCACACCATTCTGTTTTAAAACATTTCTCCTGTTTGTCACCACAAAATTGTCTCATTCCATCTGTTGAAATGAACATGACCATTAGAGATAATTAACATCTCTTTTATTAACACCTTGAAGTGAACACATATTAATGTGTGATTGATAACAATACAAAATGATAAATTTTTAATGCTACTCGACGGTGTGAATATGATCTAAATTGGTAATTCTGTAGCAAATGGCAAATGGCAAATTTGGAATACAACTTTTATTAACACTTTAAAGAATAACAATCGAAAAGTATAAAATATTTAGTGTCCCTCAAAGGTGTGAAAAAGTATAACAAGGAAAATAAAAAAAAAAAAGAAGTCCATAAAAACTGACAAACTCAAATGTCACCAACCAACGAAAGGAGTGGAAAAACAATTGTCATATTCCTGATTTGGTACAGGCGTTTTCGAAAAGAAAATGGTAAGTTAAACCTAGTTTTATAGCTAGCTAAACCTCCCACTTGTATGACAGTTATTTATAGGTCCGTTATAATGGTCAAATTGGGCGAGCAATCAAACAGACGTAATATGTTAAGTTGACAATAATTGGGATCTAGCAGCCAAAACTATGTAAACACACAATACAGACCTACAACA